CCTATTCTCCTCTCCCTCTCCACCTCAGAGTAGGCCTGGAGATTTGAGGAGCGTGTCGCAACCCTGCTGTGTGGATCACCGCTAGAGAGGAGGACGCTTGACCTCCTTCACCCTCTCCTAAGGATCTGCAAGGAAACAGGGATATACGATCTCCCTAGGTAACACAATCTCTATACGCAGTTTTGTGGTTTGCGGATTTTTGCGCACCAATCTTCACACGACGACGAACATCTTTTTTGGGAATCGGGGATTTTTGTTTTCTTGTTCTTCCGCTGTGCATATGATGTCGCCCCCAATGATTTCCCAACACACACTCGTCTGCCCAACGTGCAAAGGCAATGGGGAAGGCAGTAGCATCAGTTGCATCGTTGGAAAGAATCGAGTCGGGCGACGAGACACCTTCACAATCACATTCTCTTTCTCGCTCGGTCCAGAGACATGACAGCAACACGGACAGCAGTGCCTCGACAGATGATGGCGGTGATGCCGGGCAGTCGTTGGTCTCGTCTACACAACTTGAGGGTGGTGAATGGACTGAAGAGCAAAATTTTACACATGCCACTCAAGATTCAGATCATGGAATTCGACAAGGTACTGGTCAAGTTTATGCGCGGAAGGGGAAGGGGAAGGGGAAGGCAGTGGATGAATATGAACAAATGCGACAGAGCATACATGATATAGACACAGAAAGAGACTCATCGTATTCACAGCAATCGTATTATGGAGAATCATATGGGCAACAACAGTATGGTGATAGTTGGTCATCCTTCTCTGAGTAACAGCATGATACAGAACAACATCAATATATGCCTCAAGAGCTGCCTCGGACAAATATGATTCATGACGATCAATCTACGATCAGCACCACATTGATGCATCAATGGCATACGGCGTATCAATACACTATGTCATGGGATCAATTTCATGATTGGGTCCGACAAACGTATCATATTGATATGTATCGGATCGAAGACCCTGATCCACCACCTGTGGAGGCCCGTCGTTCGTTTTGGTGGTAGAATTAACAATCAGGTATATCTAGATATATAATTATTTAATTCATTTGAATTTTAGAGTTTATATTGTAACAAAATAGTCTAACAATTCAACTGATTTTTCTGTAGATATTTCAATCTATAACGAGCTGAAATACGAACCTCGAACAAGACTATCTCAAAGCCCGAAAAAGATATGTGATGCTATTCTTACCTAATTTACATTGATTTTGCTTAACTTATACTATTACTATATTTATTTGTAACTTGAAAACCCTATCCTAACTTTTTTTTTAATTTTTAGGTATTTTCGGAGGGTTAAAATGGTGAAATCGGGTGTACCGCTTGGTACACCTCGGTATACCGGTCGGTACACCCGTACCGTACCGTACCGAGCACGGCTCGAAACGTCGGTACGGTACGGTACGACGAACCTTGATTCTGTGAGTTGATATCAATTGACACATTCATCACAAAAATCTTCAAATAATTATATAAGAATTCACCACCTTGATTGGAGTGGATGTTTTTGATATAGAAACCATTTTCACAAAAGTTTTAAACTTCTTCAATATACCAAATACTTTTTCTTTTTCTTTCAAGAAATAAATCTAAGTTTTTCTTATATAATCATCAATCAAAGTTAGAAAATAATGATCCTTACCAAAAAGATGTTAGAGCAACCACAAATATTGGTATGAATTAGTTGAAGTGACTGAAAAACTTCTTCATGGTTGTTTGTCAAGAACACGTCCACAACATATTTGATTTATATATTATATAGAGACAATTCATCATCTTCTTAGTTAATAGTATATTGACATCTTTAAAGTGTAGAACTCTCAAGTGTCACAACCATGAGTTAAAAGGTCTTTAAATATTATGTCACATCATGATTAATGGTTAAGATATATAATTCATTCTTTGATATCACAACTCAGAGAAATTAAATTATTTATATTACTTCTAACAAAGAGTTGTTAGTCTTTTATATGAATATCATAATCATTTTTTAAGAGTTATCTAAGACTAAAAATATTATTTTGTATATCCGACACATAATAAATATTTAAAATAATTAATGACTTTCATCTATGATATGATGCATATCAACATGTTACCTTTGTCTCTCATTAGTACTTTTGAGGAGTTCTAGAATAGACTTATCCCATTTTATAATAATATATATGATTACTAATTTTGTTATCTAAGTATCATTTGTATGACATATCTTCTTAATGTGCTTGCAATAAGAGAGAATCATTTTTCTTTCTTTTTAATATAGTATTTTTGAACTTAATTTTTTTATTATAATAGAATTCGAAATCATAATGACTATATTTTTTATAATAATAGCATTGAACTGAATTTTAGAACAATTATATCCTTGACCTCTTGTATCTCCTTTTTTTTCCCATATTTTAGATTTTGATCTTTCTTATTATTTTTTTATTTTTCCTCATTTGTTATGTCTTTCTTATTATTTTTTTTATTTTTCCTCATTTGTTATGTCCTCTATCACAACCATGCCCTCTTCCACTTCCTCTACCTCTTCCACAACTACAATCACTTAAATCTTATTTTTTTTTTTTTTTTTCAAAGTGAGCTTTGTACGAAGGACTTTTTCACTACATTCGGCTTCTCGATGACTAAATGTTGTTATGCTCGCAAAGAACCCATTAGCTCGTTTGATCTAAATCCTTTGATTTTCGGATAAAGATTACAATAGAGTTGAACTTCTCGTTTAGTGATCTCAATATTTTTTTTTCAACCATACCAATATCTTCTTTATTCATTTCTTCTAAAATTACATGTTTTGAACATGTAAAGCAAAAACATCTACAAAATAGAAAATGGATAGCGAATGGATTAAGGAAATGCAACAGGCACACAAATTCAAGTGGGGAACGTTTCTGTAATGACTGGTAAGATAGAACGGAGGAAGTGTAGCCTTACATCATTCAAGAGTACTCATTAGGAAGATTCATAGGAAATTTTCTGTATACTTTTTGTTTGCTTGAATTCACTACAGGATCTTCCAACACTAAAACTTAATTATCTTCTTCTAGTACTATTGATTTGATACATGTCATCCTCCTAACCTAACGAATCAAATTTGTTATCATTCTTTAATATGACAACAATTGGTCAACAACATTGCTTTGCCCCTCAACCATTACTATCAATTACACAGTAATCAGCTACACAATAAACAGTCTATAAATCATCCTTGCATTGTCTTCCTCCTTTTGGCCGACGGAAGTGACACAACTATATTATAAGCAACACGAGACAGCAAACGAAGAAAGCCTTCAGATGAGGAGAAGAGGCTTTAGGTCACACGAGTCTATATATATATATACATATATATATACGCTGAAAGGCCTTCAAGTTTAGTCAAGGTAAGGAGGAAGCGAAGTGCCAAAACCTTTGAGCATCTACAGGGAATTAAGCAAGTGGACCAACTAGTGAAGGCGACAAGGAGGCCGCTTGGAGTGGTATTTTTCTTTTCTGGAAAGTTGGCCAAACCACTGGCGACCGTAAATATGACGCTACACCACATGGCGAAGCGTAGTTTGATCACTTTGTTCCACATGATGCATCTGAGACAGAAGAAGAAGAAGAAGAAGAAGAAGAAGAAGAAGAAGAAGAAGTGGTAGGAGACATCACACCGCAGCTTTTGCATTTGTTACCGCACCAAAATGGGTGGGGTACAGGTGAAAGGGTCTCAGCACTGCTCTTGCTGGTGTGCGCAACTGATCCAAGAGTGCCGCTTCACGTTAGCTCCCCACGGATGATGATGCAACCTGGGGGGGACGCACGGCGTTAGGCAAAGTGGCAGTGCGGGTACTGTGAGTGGCAGCATCATGCGTGGAACAGTAGACAGGCTTGCGATATTATGGTGTCCTTCTTGTTCGTTGTCCGGTACAGATCACATGGAGATCTATCGATCGTGGCCTTTTAAACTTTATCTTACTATTACATGGATTGGTTCCCCGTCAAGGAACGTTATCCCGGAAACCTTGGCGAGACCGCTTTACCCAATCTTTTCCTTCATATTATTCGTGTAGGGAACAAAGGATGCCACCAGAGTTGGACAGCCGATGGTCTCTGTCTCTTATGGTGACCCAGACCTAATTAAATCTCCAATGGCTCTTTATGATGACAAGCACCCAAATGTGGAACATGATCCACTGACTTTATGTGAGGACAACACAGCATACACTACTGTATCACGGTCTGTGTGATGAATAATAATAAGTGCAAAGCGCAAGAAACGTGGCAAGAAGGCTCAATCTACTGACAAGTAGCATGATGCCCTCCTCGGTCGATTACCAAAACAGAAAGTAAAAAACCATCGATCGATTGACCCACCGGCCTCGTCGTCCAGCCATCCTCCGGTTCCCGGACGGGCATGCCACGCAAAAGGACCCTTTATTTATTCTTCTTATTTTTCCTTTTGAAGGAAAAGAATAAGAACAGGAAAAGGAATAAAGAAAAAGGTCCTCACAACAGTGGCAGGCACGAGTTATCGTGGTCCCAAACCTGACCCGCCCGTGACCGTCGACACAAACCCCACGACCACGTACCGATGGAGACCGCAATGCACGAGTGTGTTTTTTAGCTTCTTGAAGTTGTGGACGTCTGCGTATACATGGAAAGGTGTACCGAAGTCTAATAATGATTGGTGTGAAGCTTTCATGTGGATACAATTGGGAATTAGGGGACTTGTTTCGCCCGATAAGACTCGGTTCCATGTCGTAAAGACAGAGCCTACAGGTCTATGAATGGGCCAAACAGGCGAAGGCCCATAAAGCCCACTCGTTATACGAGTCCAATTCGCATACTCACGCCGTCTACGCTGTAGCTTGGGCTGTTCCAGGCGCGGCGCTGCCACCTGAGCACTTCTCCGACCACTTAGACGCCCACCAAGCGGCGGCGTTAGTTCGTCGACAACGTCGCACGTTTGTATCTTATATATATATATATATATATATATATATATATATATATATATATATATATATATATATATATATATATATATATATATATATATATAT